AAGAGCTTGGGGTACCCTTTGGGAAAAATTTCAAGTGTTTCTTCCTGGTTTTTTGGGGGTGTATGTGAGTGTTAAAGCATTTGAGGGTGGCAGGTACCCTACAAAGTTTTTTGTAAGCAGAGCCCATAAAGGCAAGGTATTTTTAAGGTCTCTTGCGGGCCCCGACCTTCTGCACTCGGAATGCCAGAGTGGAGAACGGCCCTGACAAGGCCACCTGCCTTTCAGGATATATGGCTCCTGGTACAAAACTGGTTTTCACTGTCCTGCGGTGGTAGAACATGATGCTCCTTCGAGGAACTTACTCAAAACAAGCATGTACTCCTGTCTACAGGAAAGCACACTCCAGGACTTATGCAGCAACGACAGAACTAAACTTGTCAGGAGGACACTTCTCCATCCTCTGTTCTCTGATCCTATGCTACTCCCCAACTCTTCTTCACCCTGTAGTCCACCTTCCCCTACTTCACCACCACCTCTTCCTCTCCTCTTGCTTTTCCCTGAGCTCATGCACTCAAGATAAAATGACTACCCCCACTTACCAACTCTCTCTCACCCTCTACTACCCTATTAACTGTAAGCTCTTCAGAGTCAGAATAGTCCCTTACAGCTGTAGAGTTATGTATAAAAATGTGTCTTTTCTAGAAGATTTATCTAGCGTTGTTCGGGTCCTTAACTCAATTTTTCTTCATTTAAATCATTGCTTTGGGGTAGGGCAACAGTCTTTTTTCTGTATGGTTTTATGAGAAACAATCCTGTTCCAGGTGCATCCCATTTTCCTGGCACAAACCCTTGCCTTAGTTGAAGTTAGGATAAGAGAAAGCTACATCCCAGCTGTGGTGGTCCTAGCTCTTACCGTTTAGGTCGGAGAATTGCTTGAAGAGACAAAGTGTCTCAAATAGGCAGTAGATCACTGACCTGCTCCAACCCACCAAAAGAGCAAGACTAAGTGATGTGGGGGAAACTGAAAGTTTGGGCACCCCTGCTGTAACTACTGCAGTCATCTTTCAAGTGCAGAATCTCCACCCCCACGTTTGAATGGTGTCCGACCTCTCATCCTTAATCATGTCACAGGGAGAGCCTAGGTCCCATCCACTCCCACCTGATAAGCTGAAGGTGGCACTGCAAAACAGCAAGCGAAGCCTCTCTCATACACAGCAGCCCCAACATGGGCATACCAAAGAGGAAAGCAGCCCACTGACGTCAGTTAGCCATGATGCTCATGGGGTACTGAGTGGCAGGGTAAAAATCCAAGGCCAGGACTTTAGCCACTATTTTAAATTTTTTTTTTCAAGATACCAGCACTCAAGTCAAACGTGTTCAAAAAGACGACAACAGAAGCAAGACTGGATCCCTTAAGTCAAAGAAAAACCTTACCTATTAATACCTATTAATGCCTTTAATACATTAGTTAGTATGTGGCAAAGCCATTTCCATCTCTACTGTAGTCAAAACCCAAGATTCATTCTTATTTAAAACTTTCTGAAATCAGACTTTGGTTGAGAGTTTTTTGTGCATATCTATAATTGTTGAGATTAAAAAAAATCAAATTAACATTTTATTTCACAACACAGACTGTTCATATTTTTTTTTTACACATTTTAAATAAAAGCATAGATTACATACTTTACATGGTATTGAAAAGTAATACATAGTAAGACACAGTAAGTGCTATAGTATCCACAATATTAAATTATTATTCACAAGCTTATTTAAAAATGTAAAAACAACCCCACACATTTGCAGACACTGATTATTTCCAACTTCTAATCAGTATCTAGGATTGGTTTTTCAAAGGCATTCAGGATAATAATGCATAGAAACATCCTGCTGACAACAAGCAAAACATGAAAAAATTAAAATTCTCTTATAAAAGTCCCAATGAAACACTATCGGTAAACTCAGACCAAACCGGTGAAATTAAAAGGACCACAAATTCTTGTCGTGAAAAGTAACATCCACTTGAAGAGCTGTATGAAATAAATAAAATGTCTAGCTTAGACTCAGCACACTCACAGAAAGACAAAATGAAACAACTGTGAGGGTTTATTTTTACAAATTTTAAACAATGTTTGTACATTTAGAAAATTGAAACCATCCCAGATCTCCCTTACAGTGCAAGGGACAATTTAAAAGGATTACAAAAGTTTGTATTTTGAATGTAAGCAACCGTACAGATCAACATACCTAGAGTTCAGTACTGCCACTAATTATTAAGCCAGCTGTCCCCATAGTGCCTCTAGCACTAGCTCACAGCAGCTCTGGATGCACTGAGGCAATGTCATGCTATATTTTGAGCTTTTAATTGTTGCCCTTTTTTGGCTGGTGATCAGTGGTAAGACTCAGTACTTCCTGGATGGCAAAGTTCAGTGCAGAAGCCAAGGATCTAAAGTATAGGATATGGCATGAAGTTCTTTCAACACATCTATCCACAAACTGACCTTGGCTGAAATTCAAGCAGGGGAAACTCTGCTTCCATGGACACATTCCAGTCCAAATCTGATCCATTTTACACCTCCCTCCCCCTGCAAACTAACCTGCATTACCTTACAACAGAAGGGACTCTCACTGGAAACCAGGTGAAGATCCATCAGATTAGCCAACCTATCCACCACCTGGAACAGATCCACCAGACTCTACAGATGTGATGGAGGAGATAAACATTGATTTGTTCCCTTCACTACCACAGCAAGAGAATTCAAGAAGTCGATATGATGCAAACTATCAGCTTTGGCAAGAGACTTTCACCACCAGTGTTCTCTCTTCCCTGTTGTCACTTTTCCTCAGGTCATCTATAAATCAGGATGACCTGCCAAGTAGGGATGTAAGCGACTGGTCAACTAGTCGACTAGAC